TTCCTGATTTTCAAACCTAATTGCTACCTTCAGCATAGACTGCAGCTGCATCCACCCTGGGTGTAGAATTATGCCTTTGTGACTTAGCATACGAGGAACTGGTCTCTCTTTTCCATAATTTTCTTTATGTTTCAGTTGTTATCTTCAGTCTCCCTCAGCTCTGTGGTTAAGGGCTGACCCAAAGTCTGCTCAGGGCTTGTCTCCTCTCCTGCAGGTGGTGACTCTGCTGTCAGAGCTACAGGCAGACAGTCATTCCTGCCAGAGGATCCATGGAGCACCTAGATTTGGAGGATAATTCTGAGATTACTGTACCAACAAAGAGTGCCTCATAAAGGCAAGGATTTTGCTTTCCTTCAAAAACATAGAATCATTTAGGCTGCAAAACACCTCTAAGATCATCGAGTCCAACCAAGAACCTAACACTGTCAAGTCCACCACCAAACCATGTCCCTAAGCACCAGATCTAGACATCTTTGAAATACCTGCTGGGGTGGTGACTCAAACACATCCCTGAGCAGCCTGTTCTAAGCTTGACAGCCCTTTCAGTGAAGGATTTTGTCCTAAAATAAAACAGCTCTGGCTAACCTGTGTTGTATCTAGCTGTCAAGGAATTGGTGCCTGGGAAACAGAGGATAACACTTCAGTCTTGAGCCTTTATTACCACCTCCCAGGGCAGTGCCAGTAACCACCAAGTATTTGCTTAATTTGTTTACAGAACATGTCAGTAAGAGATTAGAAACTGAACACTTGGGCAAAACAACATGTAAGAGCCAAAGAGTGAATGCCAGGGGACCCTTTGTGTGGTCTGGCACTCTGGCATTTACCAAAGAGAGGAGTCCTGGGCTCCAGTAACAATTAAACCCAAAATCCTGTGGTGCTGCGTAATCACTTGTCAAAACCAATCCTGGGTTGAATGTAACAACTAATACAATGATTTCGTGGGGCATAAATGATCCTTTCTGTTCTGTTTCCCTGCAGTGCCTGTGGTGGGGAAAGCAGAACTTCAGCACTTTTTCAGTGCTGTCTTCTGGCTCTTCCCAGATGATCACCATTAGCAATTCTCTGGGATACAGCATTAGGGTAAGGCTTGTGGCATTAGCTATTAGCTTACCCATGTTTTGATCATAAATACTGATTGGATCTATTTTTGTAGCTCTTTTTGCTTGTATAAACAGTGAAAAGCAGCAGGGGTTGTATCCATTTTCTGTTAACTTTCTGGGAGACAGAGGAAAGTCGTTCTGCCTGTGTAAGCAAATCCTTGCAGCTCCATTTTGTTTTCCTTAATAAAAACCTGTGTGTTGTTTTCTGCAGTAGCTTTTCTCTTTTAAACTTGCTTTTCCTAGTTTGCATAGATGCATTTGGTACATTATGGAAATAATGAAGCCTTTTTTTGTTTGAAGGAATTGCTCTGTAATTACTTTATTACAAAACAGATGAAGTTGCACTCAACAGTTAAGGGAAGTATTTGCTATGTATTGCCTTGTTTGGAAAGTATATATTTCAGTGCTGATTTTACTAAGTGAAACCACAAGATTTATTGTATCATACAATCAGAGCAGAATTACCCTTGATGGCAGCAGATGTTTATAAAGGGCTGTAGAATGTTGTTATAAAACTTTACCACTTTTTCAGCAGACTGCAAGAAATGCTCCCAAATATAGAATTTTAGAGGTTGGAATGCACCTCACAGATCATCTAGTCGCAACCCCCTCTGCCATGGTCAGAGACACCTCCCCACTAGAGCAGGTTGCTCAAGGCTTCATCCAGCCTGACTTTGAATACCACCAGGGCTGGGGCAGCCACAGCCTCCCTGGGCAACCTGTGCCAGTGTCTCACCACCCTTAGAGTAAAAAACCTTTTTTTTAATAGCTAACCTAAAATTCCCCTCCTTCAGCTTGAACCCATTACCCCTGGTCTTATCACTGCAGTTCCTAACACTGTCCCTCTCTGGCTCCTTGTAGGCCCTTCAGATATTGAAAAGTTGCTCTGAGGTCTCCACAGTCTTCTCTTCTCCAGGCTGAACAGCCCCAACTCCCTCAGCCTGACCTTATAGGGGAGATGCTCCAGTCCTCTTAGCAACTTTGTGGCCTCCTCTGGACTTGCTCCAACAGTTCCATGTCCTTCTTATGTTGAGGACACCAGAACTGTGTGCAGTATTCCAGGTGGAGTCTCATGAGAGCAGAATAGATTGGAAGAATCACCTCTTTTGACCTGCTGCCCACACTCCTTTGGATGCAGTCCAGGATTCAATCAGCTTTCTGGGCTGCTAGCACACACTGAA